GCTTATCCAGGTAAGGGGGGGAGTGAGAACCTCGCTCAGGGGTGTGGGGATAATTGTTGGATAGTTGTTTGTCGGATTGGCCCCCAATCCCTTGCCGTTGTTCTGTCTAAACGGAGCTGGAACTTAGGCAGAGCCTCCTCCTCTGGATTCCCTCTTCCTTTCTCTCTCTCTTTCTTTCTCTTTCTTTCTCTCTCTCTCTCTCTCTCTCTCTCTCTCTCTCTTCTCTTTCTCTCTCTAAAATTTCACTTTCTTCCTCTGTATAAAAATTTTCACCCCCTGCCCCTATTTATAGGCAATCTGACGCACCCGGAACGACCCGTACTGATTTCGGAACGGCCCGTTCCGGATCCTTCAAATCTGGGCAAAATTTGTAACTGGAATGGCCCGTTCCAAAATCGAAACGGCCCGTTCCCAAAAAAACCAGAACGGCCCGTTCTGAAACCAGAACAACCCGTTCTCAATCTCAGCAGAACGGCCCGTTCTCCTTCCGGAACGACCCGTTCTCCATACCGGAACGGCCCGTTCCAAGGCCGTTCTGGGACTACAAAAACCTCACATTTTCAACATTTGGAACGGCCCGTTCCACTTTTGGAACGGCCCGTTCCGGAACCCAAAATACCCCTATAACTTTATTAAAATTACGAAAATGCCATTAAAAAAATAATAATAAAAATTTGGGTGTTACACGGGGTCCCCTTAAAACATGCATAATGAAAAAGTTAAAGAATTCAAAACAAGTATCAGAGCTTAAAAAATCTCTTTATCAAACATTCAAAACCAAGTAATAGAGCAAAAACACAATATCAGAGCTTTAAATTTTTTTTTTCTCAAACAATCTGAATACTAGAACTTAGACAATTGTCATTGACCATTTAAAAAATATCAGAACAACAAAATAAAGTATTAGAGTAAATTCAAAGTAGAGCAGAAAATTAATGTAAATCCACAAAAACAAGAATTGAATTTAAAAGTTTTTAAAAATAAAACCATATTTTCACTCCCCCTTTTTGCACTAGCAAAAATTAGGCCAACAATAAGTCCAGGCCAGATTAGGTTTTCTCTTCATCCAAGCTCAGGTCAATATCAAGACGAGATAGCAACTTGTTGAATTTCCTTTCAAGTTGCGCCTATCTATTGAGTGAATAGTGTAGAGCCTTGTAGAGATTGACAATGACCTGATCATGATAATCTTTAGTAGCTAGGGGAGGAAGTAGTGGAGAAAAAGGATGGTGGTGGTGGTGTAGCAGACGATTGTGGAGACTTAGGGGCAAGCAACTTGAACACCTTTCTATACAGAAAAATTACATTCCCAAGGAAAAAATATGGAATGTAACATTATAAGGGGAATAACGATATAGGCATTGTTTGACCGAAAAAGTGTTGGAGGTGGATGGCTCAATTTGACATAGTGGAGGATAGACCATGTAGCATCGACTTCTGTGAGAAGGTAGCCACTCTAGTTTGGCTAATACAGGTAGGGCCTCCTGAGAGGTATGGTGTATGGTATATCTATCAAAGCGTTTGTCAACATCATATTGAGGTATCTTCTCCTTCCTTTTATGGAGTGAACGAACAGCAAGCTTAGAGATAATTTCTTCAGTGTAAAACTTGGTCCAAAGTTGAAGCATCCATGGTCTATAAGGCTTGCCAAGTATGAAAGGGGGATTCATTGAGGTGCCTTCAAGGCTTAGTTCCATAGCAGCTCGAGAGTTCAACAAATTCTACATCTCTACTTACTGTTGTTGGACAAATCATATGGTCTGACTATCTAGCCGAGGAGGGCATTGTAGATTAATCTCCTTCCTAACCACTTGCCTAACTAAGAGAGGATTGATGTTAATGCCAGGTACCTCTATGAGATGCATGTGCTTAAATTCTGTAAAGTTAAGGAACTCATTGCGTTTGGTCGAGTCATAGATACGAGGTACCCATTCATCATCTAAGGATATCTCCTCCTCCATTTTTGCCATTTCCTGAGTCTCCTCAAAGTCGGTGTTACCATTGTCAAAGTCATCAAATGGTGGGATAAACAATGCAAAATCTCTAGGTGCACGCATGTCTAGCTCCACCATAGAGTAGTCAACACTTAAAGGTATTACATCAACTATCACCTCTATTGGCAGAATATCTTCAGTCTTACTCTGTGGAGGCTCCATCAGATTTGGAAATTATGGAGCAGACTAAGATGGTGTCGGATAAGGTGTATCAATACTCATGACCTCGATTTTAGCCTCATGGGCCTGAGCAAGATCATTAGGTGAAGGCTCCCCCTTAGCAGCTGCATAGGGTTCCTCCTGACCTTATGGCTCTGGTGCCTTTTACACTAGTGTGGCTTGCTCTTGAGTCACAATGATGGAAATCCCAAGGAGAGACTAGATTGATGTAGTTCTTCTTTCAAGCTTCTAGGACAGATCTTTAGCTTCTTGAACTCCTTCAAGCTCCTTCAATGACTTCCTAAGGTGTTAAAAGCCATGTCAAACACACATGAAAGAGATAGAACCTCCCTTAGTGATGCCACACCTTTGTAGAGTGATAAATTCAATTCTTCCATACTAAATAATCCCTAAGAATAATGCCTTTTATTCTTATTTATTTTTGTTTTTATTAATTTAATTTATTATTTGGTAATTTTTATTTTAATGTAATTTTATTGATAAATTAATAATATATTTTTTGTTTACACTACTCTAACATATTATTGTATTTGAAACTCAAAGGTGGTGCCTAAATATATGATTTTTTAAAAGCAGATTAAAAGGACATAATTGGAAGATAACTACTTTATTCTAAGAATGATATCTAGTTAACTAAAAGACAAACAAATAGATCAACTATAATTTCATAAAGAACTTGTAAAGGACATCATAAACAAGCAATAGAAATATAAAAAAGACTATTGATTGGAGTTGCATGAAGATGATAAATTAGAAGAAGTCAAGAAATTCAATTTTGACAAACAAATGGATAAAATTAAGGAATAAGTTTCACAAAAATCTAGAGTACAATTAAAGGCTTGCAGACACCAGATTTTTTTCGAGCTTTTCCTACAAGGATCAGGAGACTTTTGAAATGAGAAGAGCAGCCTTTAAAGGCCAAGGAAGGCACGAAAGCGGGCCAAGACGAAGCACAGGAAGCCCTTAAGACGTTTTTGCACGAAAAAGGGCCAAAACCCTAATTTGGGCCCGGAATGACCGTTTCAAACAAAATTTTTTAATGTAAAACCTAGATTGGGAACGACCATTCCCATTAACCTAATTATATGTTAAATTAAGGTGCAGAACATACGTTCCAATGTTGTGAACGGTCATTCCCCTTCCTTGAGTACCTATAAAAGCATGCCTATGGCTCATTCTTCTAGGGACCTCAGAGACTGAAGTTTTCTCCCTTCTTTGGAATTTTTGAGTGATAGTAAAGTCTTTGTAGAGTAAAGGATGTACCTTGTACGAATTTGTGAAGAAGATTTATAAAAAGCTTGCTTCGTAGGTTCTTAATTCTTCTATTTTATTTACTGTTTTATTTATTACTTTTCCTGTATGCATAAAATAGGTACCATGTGGATAATAAAAGTAATGCATATGTTGTAGATTAGGATAATGTAGGCAATTAAATCATTGCATGTTTAATAATTAAAGGGGGTAGAATTTAATTACACTATTATTATGTTAAATTTGTCATAGCATACCAAATTTGGGCGTTATGGGGTGTCTAACACCTTCCTCATACGTAACTGACCCCTGAACCTGACCTTGGTTACGAAGGCCAAAGTTGACTTTTCAAAAACCTTTTCTTTTTGCGATGTTTTGTGTAAAATATCGGTGGCAACTCCTTCGAACTCTTTTCAAAACCGTCATACGGAGGATTAGTTCAATCTTTGGGCAATCCAAAGTTGATGGGATTTTCAAATTTGAAGCGAGGTCCAAACCATTTGTTTGTAAGGTCGTAATTTTTGGGTTTCGACAAGTCTAAACACCACATCAAGAAATTTCTTTTAGCAATTTCTAGTTGATTATCATAATGTGTCATCCACCACTACTTGTACCAACACTCACAATACATGAGCGATACCACCCACAACCACTATTCCTTACATAAGCAAGAAGTATCAAAAGAAATAAGCAATCATCATAATCAAGAAAACTAATCATACTACAACACACAACAAATCACAAATTAGAGTACACATGAAAAACGCAATTAAGGCATATAACACATATCCGGTTTGAATTAACTAGGCTCTCATACCACTAAATATGACACTCTTTACCCCACATGTCATAATACATAAATAATGAAAGATAAATAACATAATTCTTTATAAATAAAATAAACATGTTCGAATAGAAAGCATCACATTCTTAACTTGACAAAATAACATAATCAACTGAAATTACAAGGAAATAAAACTAATGTTTTCTTAAATAATTCAACAGAATAACATCCTAATTTAGTCTTAGCTACACCCCGATGTCACATATCCAATCATATCAAAACCTAATACTAAAGTCTAAGCCTCATCACCAACATCTTCACCCTCATGTTGATCATACATTCAAATAATTCATGTCAATAGAAACATATAAGAAGAACAAGAGACAACACAAACGCATTTGGATAAAATCTCTTTATACATAGGCATATAATGTACATAAGATTGGGAACGAATCCACTACAAGAAAAATACTGATTTCCAATGGAAATTTCCGACGGAAACAAGTAAAGTTTTGATGGATTTCTGACGGATTTAAATTTGTCGACAAAAGTAGCATCGAAAAAAAAAATCCGTCGGAAATAATTTAATCCGTCAGAAATTTCAGACGAAATTTTCCAACAGATATTTCTGAAATGTCGTGAAATAGAACCCTTGAGAGGCCAAATATGAGGGTTGTTATATTAATAAATTTATTAAAATTAAAAAAAATTATAATTTTCGACGAAAATATCCGTCGGAAATTTCTGTTAGAAATTATAATTTGTTTCTAATTTTAATAAATTTATTAATGTAACAACCCTCATATTTGGCCTACATTTCATTGTTTAGCTTGTTTTATCCTTACTTGCGCAATTTCTGGGAAACTTTTCAGAAGGTCACCCATCCCTGTATTACTTCAGGTCAAGCACGCTTAACTGTGAAGTTCTGATGAGTAAGCTACCGAAATGTATATGTATGTTGTCAGTATAACTTGTACAAATTAATTCATTTAAGTCATCCTCAAATATATAATCTCATACTTGTACTATAATAATAATATATAATAATTTTATATTACCAATAATAATAATAATAATATATTTAATTATTCTTTATTTATATGTACTTACTTTTATAATTAACATCTACTTATTTCTATTTAAAATTATAATTTAAATTATTTAATTTTATAATTTATAATGATAATATAATTTATAAAATTATAAATATTTATTTATTACATACTTATAAATTAAATTTTAATATTTTAAATAAATTATTAATTAATTTAATATGTTTATTTACCTTAAATCAAACATATAAAATTCAAAAAATGTATTTATCCTTGTTTTATTTTCTAATTATCAACCATTAATAAAATACTAACTTAAAATCTTATCTAATTATATCATAATATTCTCATATCAAATTTAAAACCAGATATTAGTTATACAAAAATATTAAGATCATATAGTAAATTGTCAATAAGATTTTAGTTAAATAATTTAAAATAATTAATGTTTCAATTATATTGTTAATTAGCAAATAATTTATTCCAAAACTAATTAATTTTTTATATATTAATTATTAGTAAAATTTAATAACTTTTAATTTAACAATTAATTGGATCGATGAAATTCAACACACACCATGAGTTATTGAGCGGAATAACTTTACCAAGAGTTATTTTGTAAGTTATCTTAAATCAAACATATAAAATTCAAAAAATATATTTATCCTTGTTTTATTTTTTAATTATTAACCATTAATGAAATACTAACTTAAAATCTTATTTAATTATATCATAATATTTTCATATCAAATTTAAAACCAGTTCTTACATTTTCGACAAATATAAATTTGTCTGAAATATTCCATCAATAATATAGTTTTTCCTACAAAATTTTTCTCATCGAAAATATCACTTTTCCGACAGATTTAATTTTGTTTTATAAGAAATTATCTTCGATTAATATAACATTTTGTATATATGGTTTAAAAGTAAAAAATTTTCAATTTAACGGTTGGATTTACAAAATTCGCATTTAATATAAAGTTATTGAGCGGTGTAATACTTAGTAAAATTTACACCGGTGTAATTATAACCCCCCTCATAGATATATATATTAAATGTGACTTTTACTAAGTATTACACCACTCACTAACTTTATATTAAATGTGGATTTGGTAAATCCAACCGTAAGATTAAAAGTTCATATCTCTTAGATTATATATACAAAATTTTATATTAATCCAAGATGATTTGATACTTCTTTTTTATAAAAACAAAATTGATATAATATATTCATTTTAAAATACACTAAAATATGAACACTTTGATTACCTTCCAGTTGTCGTTCAATTTTAACAAATTTTGATATACACGTATAAAGTGATATGAACTTTCAAATTAACGGTTGGATTTACAAAATTCATATTTAATATAAAGTTATTTAGCGGCGTAATACTTAGTAAAAGTTATACCGGTATAATTATAACCTCCTAATATTATATTATTTTAAAAAACTAAAAAATTTTTAGAGGTGTTAAATATCAATACGATAATAGTACGTAATTATTGTAGGTGACACCTAAGATAATAATTTATCTTTTTAAAAAAAAATAAAAAGTAGTTAAAAATGATTACATAAAAAATAAGAATTAAAAATAAAAATTCCAATTTTAAAAAATAAAAATAAGAATTAAAAAAGAATTAAAAATAAAATTAAAAATAAGAAATTAAAAATAAGAAATTTCCGATGGAAATATAAATCCGTCGGAAATTTCCGACGAAATTTTTCATCGTAAAATTTCCGTCAGAAATTTCTGACGAAAAATTCCATTGAAAATTTCTGTCGAAAATTTCCAACAAAAGTATAAATCCGTTAGAAATTTCTGACAGAAATATCCATCAGAAATTTTCCATTGAAAATTTACGTTTTTCTTATAGTGATCCTACAATCCAACATACAATCCTTCACTTTCCCCCTCCTTTTTTTCTCTCCCGCCCATATCTTTATTTCTCTCCCCTTCTCTCTCTCTTCCTTGTATCTCAATATTTATTGACCTTGTTAATTTTAATAATATATTAAAATCTATTTTATTTCTATATTTTAATAGTATTTGTTAACACTTTTGTTGTTTAAATGAAATAAAATAATATATTTTTATTTTTTTTAATTATAATGTAGTATTTTTCTCTTCTTTGTTGAATTTTGTATTTAAATTATTTTAATAAGTTTTCAATTTTTTAAAATAGTTAAAGATCATATTTATAATAATATTTAAATAATTATATATATATATATATAATGAGTTTATTTTAATAAAAGATATTTTTGTAAAAAATATTTATACACCCAGAAATATATTATTGTAACCAAACATGAAAATCTTTAATTTCTAAAAATTATATATTAATATTATCAAAAACATTTATGAGTAATCAAATATATATAATGAGTTATTCTCAGAAATTATGATTCCTATAATTTGTAATTTGCAAGAATCATTATTCTTGGATAAAGAAAAATTTCTTCCCTACTAAACACTCTAAAAATAATATGCCTTTTGTTCTTATTTATTTTCATTTTAATTAATTTTATTTATCATTTGTTAATGTTTATTTTAATGTACTTTTATTGATAAATTAATAATATATCTTTTATTTTTTATTTTCATAGCTCTAACATATTACTGTAAAAGTGGTGATCCAGATCGACATAAATGGATGTTACATATGAAATGTGACAATGTCCTAGTGTGGGTCTAATTAAAAAACCGAAATTTATTTAGAGAGATACCTCGAAGTCGAGCAAGAAACTCAAAGATCTTAACTTTGATGGCTAAAAAAAATAAGAGTCGGATGGGGAAATAAATAGTTTTACAAATAATATTGACCATTTTTTTTTTTAAAATTATCAAATAAATAGTGAAACATTTTGTTGATAAATTAAAATTAATACTACATAGCAAAAGTCAGGTAATCAGCGTGTACGGCAATTCAGGCTGAGTTTACAAAACTTGAGATAGGTCAATGGTTTATTGGTTTCCCATAATTCATGCCTTTTACTTTTCTAGTTTTTCTCTATCGACTGGTTCTCATTTAATGATCCTAGGAATTAGGAATGAAAAAAAAAAACTCATAAAATTCAATATAAATTATAAATTGATAATTAATAGGTACTTGATTACTAAAAGGCCCGTTACAGATAATAAATATTTGTAATTTAAAAATATTAAAAATATTCATAATTAAGTATAATGTAATTTAATTTATTTTTTTATATTGAATATTTATGTTATAATTATTTATTCAAATATATATATATTACAATTTTTTAAATATAAATATATGTTTTAAAATTATTTAATATTATATTTATTTTATTTCTTATCTTTTATTTAAAATTTTACACGTCCTTAAATATCGATAGATATACATAAAACTCACATTAAATAGATTAGTGACGTGAAATAACTACCTGTCTTCATTGAGTCCTATTCTCATTCAATTCCTACTAGCAATTCTTTTTTCTTTTTTTTTCATCAGTTTCCCTTAAAATAATAGGAGCAACTATCACGGAAGAAGACATGGAATTTCCATGAACATAAGGTCTAACCATCCCAATTATATAATAAATTAGATATGCTGAAGAACTATATATATAATCATCACACGCTCTTTCTTCCCTTAACTTTCCTATAGGCAATAAATCATTCACACACTGCATAGATGCTTGCTTATGGGGCACACTTGGATCTAAATTGTGTTGTTATGATCATATTGACGATGATATTACCCTTTCTAGGGTTGCTTTTCTGGCTAGAAAACAAGGTAACCAATTCCAGTGAGGTCAATCCTTGCTCCAAATGGAAGGAACTATTGCAGATCAGTGATGAAATAAATAGTGTGTTCTATCAACATGATGAGGATAACACTAGTTTACACTGTGCTTGCTCCTTCTGTGGCAGATTAAGCAACGTATACTCAAGATGCTCACGCTGCAAAACTGCTATGTATTGGTAATAATTGAAGCTTCTGTATAATTCAATTCATTCACCCTTTTTGCCCTTTCGATTTTCTGAGAATTAATGTACATATGATTGTGAAAATACAATGTTAATTATAATATAGTGTTAAAATCAAAAACCTATACACGTTGTATCGATTTATATTTTTTGTCCAAGTTATCAAGGGTCCAAATTCAGACTTTAAACAATAAATATTTTGTCCTAAAACAAGTTACAAATGAAAAAAATAAATAAAACAATAGTATTTTCGGTCAATATAAAACCTGAAAGTTTTCTAGCGGCTTTTAAGACTGCGCCGAAAATAAAGAAATATGATTGGGATCTTTATTCAACTACCATACTGTGTACCATTATTACACTCTCTTACTTGATTTAGTTTTCCTTTTCTTTTCTTTTCTTCATATATATAAATATATATAGTTCAAATATACTCTCGATCGTAAAATTACCTGAAAACATTTTTATATGACTTCCTTTTGTATACATATACATATATGTGTATTTTTTAGTTTTCTTTTGGTGCCCTTTTTCTCAACACATTTTTATTTGTTGTTTGAGATTTTTCTTTGTAATCAGCTAAACTTTATTATTTTTACTATTATTATTATTATTATTATTACACATATTTTTTTATGCTTCTTTTTTATGATTATTGGTTTTGATGGTATGACACGCACGCCTTTTATTATTGATTTTATCAGCTCAAATGCTTGCCATGTTATGCACCGGAGGATATGCCACAAATACGAATGCGTTGATGTCTTAGAAAATCAGGAGGAAACACCATCTCATGGAACCCAATTCCTTCTCAAGGATCCTAAAAATGTAATGTTAATTTCTCTATATCATTTTGGACATTCATTTCCTTAATTAGTTTTATTTCATATTGTCACTTGTCTTATTCAAGTTGACATGAATTTCCATTTCTTCTGTTTGGCTGCAATAGGAAAGTTCTATATATATTTTCTCAACATGATTATATACAAGTTGATATTATATTTTCTCAACAAGAGTTCCATGTTGGGCTCTAGGAAAGATTACAAGTTGTTAATTGTATGTATAATGCAGCCCTATCAAAAAAATATTGGGAGGGAATGATTGGATGATTATAAAATTATATCGAATGTCATCATGACCCTCTTTTTGTTTTAGTCTAGTTAAGTTATATATTTTAAATTTTAATATTAATAAATTAATTATGCAGGATAAGTACTCATTCAATGAAGTTGAGCAGAAAATATACAAGGGAGATGTTTACAATATCGAAGGAGGAGAAAACAGTTTTGATCATGAGTTCAGTGATGAAACAGCAATGCCTCGACATAGAACTGTGAATTGTAACAATGGCTGTGCTGTGTGTGGTAATCCAACCTCCAAACTATGCTCAAGATGCAAAACTATAAAATATTGGTAAGTCTCGTAATCTAATCTAACTTGTCCAAAGTCAACTCAACATGTTAAGTCAATGCTTCTTTTCATATGTTTTCATGATTCTTAAGTTAATTAACTATTTTAATCCTCTTATGACTTAATATATATATAGAGAGAGAGAAAGAGAGAGAGAAAAAAAAGAGATGTTCACATACTCACAATAAGTTTTAGTAGATTTAGTTCATTAAATAACTTATATTTTATGTCAAATTTTAATTATCTAATTATTGAATTAAAAATTCTTAATATATAGTTCAAGTTTGTTTTTAAATTTATAAACTTGATCTATACATTAAAAAAATTTAATTTAATGAATTAGATCATTAAAATTTGATGTATAATATATGAGTTATTAAGTTAAATAAGTCTATCAAAACTTACCTTTAAGTAAGTAAATATCTTTTCTCTCTTTGAGTACAATTATAATAATGATGCCACCATTTAAATGTTATTTAAAAAAATGATTGAACACACAAAGTCTTCGGATTTGAAACACATATATCTTAATACAACATTACATGTTAGTTAATTAGGGCATTGACAAGTGAAGAAAACTGTCTAAAAACATATACTGGTGACATATTATAAAAAAGATAATATTTGATTCAATAATTCTTTAATGAAACTCTTAATTAATTAAGGTTATTATGGCACTTATATATTTTAAAAAAAAATCCTCCATATTGATTATAAGCAAAAGAAAAATAAAACTTTAATTGTTAAAGATATTAAATATATATATAGATGGACTAACTTAATAATGCACAACTCATATAAGAGCGAAATTAAAAATATCTTAAAAGAGTTAACTAAAATAGGGATCAAATCATTTTGTTTGTATATCTATAAGGATTAACTTATTATAAATTTTTACATATACAAACTAAATTGAGAATCCGTGATATATACATAACTTATTATAATATTATATACAGTAACTAAATACATGTTAGAAATCATTTTCATAATAAATTTATTATTGTAACTAGGGATTAAAAGATATTTTTTTAATAAAGATCAAAACATAAAATAATATTAAATACAAAGGATATAATTTTCAAATCTAATCCGTATCATCAATGTGACTTACAAAATATGAAACCTCTGAAAAAGCCTTCACCAGTTCTTACATATATAACATCATTGATTATTAGTATTAAAATACATTTTTTTATTCATTTAATATTACGAAGTTTCGCAAGTCTTAATTATAAGCATGTATAAGTCTACAATATTCATGCCTCTTTAACTAGTTAATCTAATAGTTATATATGCTCCATTAATTTTACTTGACTCAGATATAATTTACTTGTATATAATGAAAAGGTCAAAGTGATGACATTTTTAATGGAAAAACTGGATGTTCTCTAGCACCAGTTATATAGTTATATATAAATATTTAGTATTTAACTTCTTTATCTTACTTAATGCCACCCACTCAAATATTCCTGCATGTTAGGACCAGTCAATGACCATAATGAATTACTGACTATTATGCACTTGTGCTCTAGAATTTTAACGACCATCGTATTCGTACATACAAGTTATTGTCAAATAACAAATAAGTAAAAAACAAAAAAGTTTCCAGATATTATAATAAATTATTTTAAAAACGACATATTTTACTTACTAATTTTCTGTTTCTATTTTTATCAAAAAAGTATCACGTTATTTTAATTTATTTTTATTTTTAAATTTGTGTATATAACAATTTATAAGTTTGAATATTTTTAATTTTAATTCCTAAGATAAAATTATTCTTTTATTTTTATAAATTTTCACCAGTTTTAAATATTTTCTGCGAGTTCGTAATTTTATAATACAGAAAATATAATATTTGTAAGGTATAAAATATATACTGTATCAAAATGATTTTTGTAATGATTATTTAAAAATTTGTATCAGAAATAATTTTTAATTAATTCATAATGTGAAAATACTTATAACAACGATCCATCGAACTTAAATTCTTTCACATTAATTACAATTCACACATCACTTCATAGTTTTCTAGAATAATTAAAGTCCAAGTCGTGTTTTTTTCTTCTTCTTCTTTTTCATTAATGCGACAATATTCACTGACCCATTATATCTTCACTTATATAACATTTTTCCCCGACACGTTTCAAAACTAGAATGATAAGTTGGCCACATGTACCCAATAGGCAATAGTTATATGTGAAACCTAAGAATTTCATGTCAATTTTTCGTTCCAAATCATATAGTTTCATCTTTTTAATCACATATATCGATATATCCTTCTAAACACGCAGACAATCCTATGTATACCAATAAACAACATAAAAAAAAATATATAAAAAATAAAAAATATTATTATTATTATATAACTTATATAAATATAAATTTATTTAATATATAATTACACCTAATTTTAATGTTGACTTTAAATAAAATTTAATGACATATATTAATATATTTTAATAATATATTAACATCTATTTTAATAATAAATCTTTTGTTATTATAAAGTAACTATGACATTTTTTTTAATGAAATCATATAAAATAATAGTTATGAACTTTCGATCACCTACCCTAAGTGAAAAAATAAATGAAAGTGGAAAAATAAAATTGGGAGAGCCCCACTAGATTAATTTAAACCTCTTCCGTACAGATAATGATAAATTTTGACTAAGAATCTTTCAAAACCTACTTTTACATGTCAACTAACTAAAAGAGTTCATTTAACTTGATTGTTAGAGTTTATTAGTTGTGTGTCGAGATCAAATATTTTTAATAAATTTATCATATATATTGATTTAAAATTAAATGATGGTATAAAAGTATTTTACTGTTTAGCCTTTTTTTTTTTTTTTTTTTTTTTTTTTTTTTCTAATTACTATTAAATTTATTATTTATCAGTATAAAATATTTACTCCATTAATTATCATCAAAAAGCTAACTATAATAAAAGTAATGAAAATTTTCATATCTTCATAAATTCTTAATAAATTTATTTTGTTCTTTTCACAAAATAATTTTGGAAGCCCGACAATAAATCTGAACCGTCTTTTTAAAGAGTTACATTTGATAAAATTATAAAAATATGGCTTTATAACACTTATTGAACAATATAAAATATGGCTTTAAATATATTTAGATCTCCTATAAAATTTTGAATTATTGTAAATACAAAGGTTGCTGCCGTTTAGAACGGAATAAGAATGTAAATTTTACATTATTAGTATATCTATATCTCTATATATGGATATAATATGACTACTGATTTATGAAATAGTTTAAATCAATTATTTTTTAATTCTACGATTTCTCACATAAAGTTATAAGTCTAATAAAAAATAATAATCTAATTTCAAATATAGAATCTAAATTCATATTTAATACCATAAATAGTTAGGCTTTAAATTTCCCTGAAGTTAATATTATTATACCAGACTTTTCTACCAGACTTTTCTTTTCTTAAAAATGATATCCAATAATTTATTTTAGGTTTATACACTATTTTGATTGTTATAATTTTGGGAACTTTACTTTTAAATTTCTATATTAAAAAAATATTTTATTTTAGTCTTTATACATACATACATATATATATATTTATTTATTTTAGTCCATATTATATATTGTTGTAAAGATTAAAAGAAACAAAAAAAGATATGTATCAAGACTAAAATTGAAAATTTGTAATTAAAAAAATAAAGTTCATGAAATTATAGTGAAAAAGAATGTTCAAAACTTTACTTTATGATTTACTTGCTTATTTAAAATATTGTCTTTTCTGAAAATAAATAAATATGGAGATTTGAAATTAGATTTGTATGCTAGGTTACTTCATATGGCTTCAAGATTTTTATGGTTATTCTTTTTCAGTTCACGAACGTGCCAACATTTTGATTGGAGATCAGGGCACAAGTTTCAATGTCTTGCGGAGAAGGCAAGTTCAACTGAAGCAGCAATGGTCAATCAAGAAAGACATGATCATGGAAAAGTAATTTTTCATTTCTTAATGAAAATTAAAATGTGAAGGCCATATTCATAGCAAATCCACGAACCAGTGCTTCTTTAACAATTAGTTAAAATGAATTAGTTGAATAATAAGTTCACCATTAAGAATTGTAAAACTACCGTTGCATTGTATATCCATCAAATTATAAAATGAGTAAAATATAATTGCTAAATCTGAGCAATTAGAACCCTCTTTGGGTAGCATATTCTGTCTTGTCATTGTAATTTTTATGGATAATCAAAAAATTGAGAATATTAATTAAGTTTCGGTTTTTCTATCTATCTTTGCAGGTTGTAAATGTCATGCATTTATATGAGGAGGAAGATAATGCTTATTCAAGTAGTCCTCTTTGCTTGGAATATTATTCAGGTCTCTAACATATTATCCATCTTATAGTCTTCATATATGTTCATATTTTGGTTTCATTCCAATTTCTATTAGTTTATTTCTTAAAATCTAAATCATAATATAGCTAATTGTATTATGCCTTTGTTTGGTTGATGCAAAAGGAAACATCAACTCCAGGGCCCTGATTTCAAGTTCTCTCTCTCAGGTATAACTGACTTTGGATCTTTACTTGGTTGTTACTTGAGATTTCATCATCTTCCATTATAATGCAGGAAGGAACCAATACTTCCCTGAAGAAGGTTGAAGAACAATTGAAAAGCCTAAAAGAAGAATTGGCAAAGATCAAGTATAGTTTCCATTTGGGACTCTAAATTTATTTTTAGAATGCAGTAGCAGTAGCTAAATAGAAATCTCAATCATTCCTTTTCCCTTCATTACTTTTCAATATTTTTTCATGAATAAAATTAGAGAAAGAGGGTAGGGGAGAAACTGTTGTCTCATATTTGATCTTCTTTGGAAGTCTTACATTTGAATTAGATATAGTTATGCAGGTAAATATTTGAATTCTAGCATACATCTCCATTCTCATTTGGTCAATTTAGTGAATACTAGTACTAGAAATAGGACAATATATGTATTCTACTTGGTTTTACACATTAAAGCTGCATTGCTTTTAAACTTTCAATAAGTTTTGAAAGTTGAAACTAATAAATAGTGATAGTTGATGGGTTGTTTTTTTTATTTGTTTTTGAAGATATATTTATCATGAGTATGATACATTGTTGTACTCAGGATATTCACATATATTTTCACATTGACAAGAGAGTATTCACTTTGAATGTAAATTCTAATGAATTTGATTTTGGTTATCACCCAAAAAAATGTCTCAAATCAATGAAGATTTTGTTGTGCTTATAAATTCATGTTCTTTCTTTTGTTATAATGATGTGAGACTTTATTTATATCCCAATAGTAGCAAGTATTGATGTCAAAGTATTTTGATGATGATGCCAGAGTTGAGAACAAATCACTACGATCAGAACGTGACGAATCGGAATTGCGAGAAAGGAATTCTATAGAAAGATTTCACAGCTTCAGAAAAGAAAATGAACATCAGGTGATTGCTAGAGTTCAAAATTGAAGTGAGTTTGTGCATTGAAGCCATTTTATGATGATTTTAACACTATGTGTTCTCCATTTTCAGCTGTTTCTTTTGAAGCATGAAAATGAGTTGATGTCAAGTGCTGAGAAGCAAGCACGTCAAATGGTTAATAGTTTATCTCAGAGGCTACACTGCTTGCAGATTGCTGTGGAAAGTGGAGTTGAAGAGAGGAAAAAACAAGAAGAATATATACATATGCTGCAGGTATGTTTTCTTAATTGCATCCCCTAAAAGATGTAATTTTTTAAAGAAAAATTGTGGTGTCATTCTAGTTTCCATGCTTCGAGTAATATTCATTGTTAGCTATTGTCAATTTATAGAAAGAACGTGCCCAGGCTAAGATAGAGCTACATGAACAGAACAAGTGCATCAAAAGGCTTAAACTAGAGCTTGATATGACCACTCAATTTCCTGTGAGAATAACTGAAGAGACAAGACAAAAGTTAGTCAATGCTTTTAGTGAAATTGCAGGTGTTGAATCCAATGCTGCTGGTGCTGAGGTATTTGTGTGTTATTTTCTTCATACCACCCTTTTGTTGGGTTTTGTTGGGTTATATTAGCTATCATCCATAGTCCAATCACTAAAGTATAATTGGAAGAGGAGGAGCAGAGGTTCCAAACCTCTGAAGGAGGTTGAGACTTGAGATTTTATTAGGAATGAGTATTGCAATAGATTGCAGTGACACTTGTGTTAAATTGGTTCTATAGTTGGGGGTTGCACTAACACTTCATAAAACAATTACAGTTTTTTTTGGGTAAATTTTTTCAGGAAGTACTTTTAAAAAAGAAAAATAAGACGGAAAAATAAAATAAATATTTTCTCGTAAGTTAAAATTAACTTTTGTATAAGCTAATTTGTAGAAACTTTCTACTATTAACTTTTTGAAAATCTTACTTTTAGCTTATACTTCAACTAGTTTTAATTTATATAGAAGTTTATTTTAATTTTTCTTATTGTTGGAGAAAGTTAATATATATATATAGAGAGAGAGACGATCTAACAATTAACTTAAAAGTTCTTAATACATATTGATCAATTTTACAAATTTTTATAAAATTTGAAAATTGTTGATATTCCATTTCATAAATTCAAATCAACGTATAAAATATTTTTATGATTAACCGTTAATTTGAATTAATGAAATGAAGTATCAATTATATTGTAATTTTTTTAAAAAAATTTACAGATTTAATCTATATATTAAAAATTTTTAATCTCACAATTGAATCATTAAAATTTGATGTAAAATATGAATTATGACTGAAGTGAGTCACCTTGAAGTAAATATATTTTACCCCAAGTCTACCTGATCTTTATGCCACTTTAGTATGAATTTGGATGTTTTCTTTTTCTCATTTTTAAATTCCATACAGGTGTCCCAGCCAATTAGTTTGAGCAGAAATCCAACCTTTACAAGACAGGTAACTGGAAAATATAAAAAGAATCAAGAATCATAACAAAATTTCCCGTTTTCATCTATGTTCAAGATAAGATACTATGATCATGAACAGAGTGTATATTCAAATATCTGATTCATGAAACTGATCACATGATAGAGTTTAGTAACACTTTTGTAGCATGTCTCCACACAAGAATTCATTATACCAGGGATGATTTCCCCCTACTCTAACTTGACATTATATTCAAAATAAAATTTTACTCATAACATCCATGTTTATTTATGAATCACATGCACTGGTTACACTAAATCTTGAATATTTAGAAACATACTAGATCATTTTCAGAATATAGATTGTCCAAATGCTAATTTTGTTGTGAAGTTACTTTTACTATTATGTAGGGCTGTTCAATTTGCCTAACCAATGAGAAGAACATGGCCTTTGGTTGTGGACACATGGTAAACTCCAAAAATACAAACCACAATTTCCCCCTTTCATATCATGCAATTAATGATGATTTGTAAATGGTTCAAATGCAGACTTGCTTAGAGTGTGGATCAAAAATTCACAAGTGTCATATATGCCGAAGGAAGATCACTAGCCGTATCAGGCTGTTTCCTGATTAATTGAAGGAGGAGTTCATAGGCATTTTCTGAGAATGCCATTAAAGAGCATTTTTCAATATTGCTATGTGCTTAGTAATAAAAACAAGTCTTGTCAATAGATTTTACATTGGTAGTCAAGACTAAAATTAAATAAAGGTTTTGGGACCATATATATATATATTGGGTGTATTTTGTGTTTCCATGTGTGTAAGTATTGGTATGTAACTATGTGTATATCAAAATCTGTATATAGCTTGATATTTTGTTGATCTGAACAGCAAAGTAGCAGATACTACACACAACAACACAAAATCAAACATCCATAGGATTTTATGATATGTTTTGATTTGTCCAAATGAAGTTATCGTTTTACTCACCAAATTCCTTTGTATCTGGTATATATAGCCTAATGAGGATGACAAAGAAAGATGGTGGCATTGTTGGATCCTCATGAAAAGTAAATTGTTTATTCTATAGTCTAACATAATTATATTTTCAATTAAATAACATTACTTGTGCATAAGTAAGCTAATTTAGTCATTTATTCAATTTATCCATGAGCTTAATTTCCTTCCTAGGACATAGAAAAATCTTATAATTCCAAGCAAGTGCTTCATGGTTACTCGTTCATCTATTCTACTCCTAGAAAAAGAGTAAAAAAAACAAACACATTCCTCAATTATGTTTCCTGAACTGACTTCAAGATATATTGAACATTATATTTCTGTCTCATGTCTATAAATTAAGAAAACAATTGAAGGGACAAATTGGTCATTGAACAATATTTTCTATTCAATAACGTTCGTTTTGAAAAATTAGTACATCTTCGAATCCTGTTTATAGGTTAGTTGTTAAACCAATACATATATGATTTTAAGTTTATAATTCATTTAACCTCTCAAATTGACTATATATCCTTATTGAGAGAATATGGGATCTGGTTGTTGCAGTGTTCGTGGGGGGCGGTTGAGCAAGGTGGATCCGAAGGAGGCAGAAAGGCCAAAAAAATGGGGGAAACCTAAAAGACTAGGTTAAAAAGAGACCAAGAAAAAAGGAGAAGGGAGCTTATTCTGAAACACATAGATTGAGAGAAACACCATGAGTTCTCCGGTAATAAAATACACTCTGTGATCAGAACCAACCCCATATATACTTTTCCGGTATTGAGGACTGCTACTAAAGAACTCTGCTTGCTATTTAGATCAAGATCATTTTGTGATAGTAATCTATTCTTCTCCGAGGTATAGTGGTCCCTATATATATTGATGTAATATTTTTAGTGCAAATCTCTTGTTTTTTTGTCATAATCTGATAAATTTCGGTGTATACTTATTATTATTGTTAATAATCCTACAAATTGTGGTATGTTTGATTGTTATTGTGACACCCTTTTACCCCAAATACACTTATAACATAGTAAATAATCTAGTTCATAGATAAATAACTCATGCTCATTAGACAAAATACTATAAAAAATGTTACATATAATAATTAATAATTTTTAAATATGCATATATATTTTATTCAATTTATACACTTATTAATATATATTATACTTTTAAATCTTGTTTTTGGTCACAAAATACTTAGTCAAGGGATAATTTTAATTTTAGTTTAATTGTTTAAACATTAGTTTCTTTTTATTTTTATGTTTTCTTTGTTGGAATATAAATAGGAAAAAAATAACTTGAAAACTACAAGTCTAAAAGGGGAAACATTGGAAGATCACTCATGGTTGCTCAAAGCAAGCTTAGAGGGTGCTCTAAGCAAGTGAACATCACAAGTTCAATTAGAAAAAACCCATTTAGAATCTTATAAAATTAAGGTTTGGAGATAATAGAAAGGCACTCCGTATTGAGAAGTTTAATATTTGAGAGGAAAAAGAGTCATTGTTGGGATTGACATAGTGACCCTACTCTATGTAATTCTTCTTGTTTCTATACAATTGATGTTTTTATTTAGTTAGTCATTTTATTCTTATGATTAATGCTTGTTGTGGCCTGATTAACCTCTTCATGAGTTATAATATTTAATCGAGGTTGAAAAACTCTTTTTAATGTTACAACCTAGATAAAGTGTTGATAACATTTATTACCAAGGAATTGAAATAAACCTTATCAATGGACTTTTAGACCTCCAATGTTAGTGTAGGTTACTTAACAAACTTCACAAAGGAATTTTGAGGTTTTCCTTAAGCAAACTAGAACTTCTCACCTAAGGAATTAGGGTTAAATTTTTTTGTTGGTTGTTAAATTAACATAATAATTACTGAAGTTGAATAATAATCGAGAAGGATATGTGTGAGGAAGGTTTGTAAAATCAATCACTGACATCTTTTATTATAAAATTTCAATTATCTTTTCAATCTTTTTATTATTCTAAATCCTTAAAAGTATTTTCTTTATCTTTATTTCTTTCTTCAAATAAATCTATCTTTTTCTTTTCCGTAATTATGTTAAACTAGATTAATTAATCATAGCGCAAGTCTCTATGGATTTGATACCTGAACTTTTTTTCTCTTTACTACTATGTCAGTTGATAGATTTTCCAAATTTGTAATAGTGACATACAAAAAAATGTCATTATAAATACAATATATGTAGATATAAATCTATTTTGCATATAACTACATACAATTTTAATATTAATTTTAAATGAGATTCAACATGATATATTTTGTGTCACTATAGCCTATACCTACAGTTTTTAACAATATGCCAACATATTATTTATAGTCTTGGTAAAAATAGTTTTTAGTGATAAGCATTGTATTATTATAAGGTGTGTGCCACTCTATGATAACTTTCTTGTAGTGAAAGATTCACATGAAATGTTTTAATGTATGAAAACTCCATAATTAAATAAATACCAACATATATAAAGAAAACAACACATATCATATATCAAACATGGGTCAACCACAACTAAATATACAAGACTTATGAATTTGTATGTTCTTATCTCTATATGCATGTGATATCATTCTCATTTCGTATAAATTGCATACATATAAAGTAGTTTGGGAGTGTATGGGCAAAAAAATAATCTCCACACAATGGGTAATCAACATGTGATCTACTCTCACTAGAACAAATCTATCAAGAGTCATTTGAGGTACCATAGCTGGCCAAGGTTTCCCCTCATCCTACTTGTTAAGCCAAAAGATGATCAAGATCCTTTGAACTTGGAGTTTTAACGCTAACCAACATAACGTTTTTATAAAGAAGAAATGTCCACAAAAGCATCTTTGAAAAATATCTTTGAAAAGCTCATTAGATGAAGTGTAATACACAAATCATCTATAAGACATAGTAAATTAGACAAAACATACAATCTGTCTTATATACTGATGGAAGACCATCCATAGGAAGATCACACTTGAAGACCATTAGACATTTAACTTGGTCCATGGTTAGGAAGCTTGAGGAGGTTTCTATAGAGGAGGTGTTTCATAGACCTAAGCTTTATATGAGCATTGAGTATGTTTCCTCTATTTAGTTTCAAAGTCTCTATCGTACATATCTTATATATTTTGAGTTCTTTTCCCTTGTACATAGTAGATACATGTATAGACTTATTTTTTCCTTTGTATTTGTAAGGCACCTTTATCTTTCTTTATAGGTCATACCCTTAGGATTTTAGGATATGTTTCTTGGAGACTTTTACTTCATGTGAACTTGTATTAAGGGTCATAGATTTTCGTATTTTTAGCTTTAGTAGTGGGGTAGCAAGTAGTAATTGTGTAGGTGAAGCTAGCAATTGGGTCTTTAGCGGGCCCAGGCCAAATTTTACATATTAGGTTTGTTTTTCTCCATTTAATCAAGGGAATTGATTTAGCTAAGTTTCACCATCATTTGGTGAACCTAACTAAACCAATTTTTGATTTTTTGGATTGGATTAAGTGAAGAAAAACAAGCTTGGTCATCCTTCCCTTTTCCTTGGCCAAAAATTGCAAGCTTCTCTAACACGCCTTGCCACTTGGCTTGGCAAGGAGGTAAGGTGACACTTTCACTCTATGATTGACTCTTCTAGATCTAAGTGTCTCCTTCTTGTCTCCTAGGAGACAAGGTGAAACTTGACACTCTATGATTGACTCTTCTAGATCTAAGTGTTCCTACCTTGTCTCACCTTGTCTAGATCTAAGCTACAACAATCTAGTTTCTCCTTGAGGTTTCCATCACTACAAAAAATGACATTTAGCGACCACCAAAATCGGTCGCTAAATTGCCAAAACCGGTCGCTATTTACCTTAGCGACCAAATTTAAGTAGTAGAAAAAACCCTGGTCTCAAAGGTATATAGCGACGAAAATATCATAGGTCACTTTTTAGCGGCCGAAAATTTTGGTCGCAAAATGGTTGCAATGATTTTGGTTATTGTTGTGTATGGGGACCAAATTGGTGACCGAATAATACGTCGCTAAATCGGTTGCTAAGTATGTTTTTATTTTTAAATAAAATAAAAATGATTTTTTAGTTTAGTCTCTAAATTGGTCGCTAAATTGGAGAAGACTTATTATGCCTTGGTAAGGGCCGCTCAATGATTAAGACAATACATGCTAAGGCATACTACCCAACTGATATAAAAAATGGATCCTATCAAGTATCTATTCTAGAAACCGATACTCATTGGAAGGGTCGCCAGATGAAAAGTATTGTTATCAGAATACGACATCACTTATGTGTCACAAAAGGCAATCAAAGGTAGTGCCTTGGCTGATTATCTAGCAAGTGGGCTAACTGATGAAAGACATGCAACAAAGGATGACTTCCCCGACAAAGAAATTCTTGCTTTGGGAAATGAGGAAGAAGAACAAACTAGAGAAGAATCCTAGTCTATGTTCTTCGATGGAGCTTCGAACTTGATGGGGCATAGGATATGTGCCATACTAATGTCATCCCAAGGGATACATATCCTAGTAACGACAAGATTAAACTTAGACTGTATCAATAATATAGCCAAGTATGAAGCCTATATATTGGGTTTACATGCCGCTCTCGACAATGGCATCATAGAATTAGAAGTCTATGGCGACTCGACTTTGGTAATACACCATTTAAGGGATGAATGGGAAACTAGAGATTCCAAATTAGTTCCTTATCGAGAATATATCCAAAGTCTAATTCCCTAGTTTAGATCAATCAGCTTCAAACACATCCCAAGAGAAGGGAATAAGTTGGCAGATGCCTTGGCCATGTTATCCTTCATGTTCTCTATAAAAGAAGGATGTGAAATGCCGATCATTAGAATCCGACATCATGAGATGCAAGCTCATGAATTCACTTTAGATGGAAAAGGTGATGACCATCTGTGGTATTTTGACAACAAACAATATGTTGAAGGAGGAAAATACCCAACTGGGGCATCAAACAATGATAAGAAAATGATTAGATGTAGAGCTATCGGTTTCTCATCACATGGGGAGTCCTTTACAAGAAAAACTTTGACTCAGTCCTATTAAGATGTGTCGATCACATGGAAGCCCAATCCTTGTAGACACCTAATTTTGTTTGGGGCACATAAACAAAGAAATGGACATTGGGCATGAAGAAAAGGAGCTCCCGAAAGCCCAAAAATGACATGATATGACGTCAGAAAGCCCAAAGCCTAATAAGGGTTATTTAGTAGCTTAGAATGGGTCGTTCCAAAATCCTAAAAAGGCTTAGAAACCCTAGCTCAGAATGGGCCATTCCCAATCTGGAATGGGCCTTTCTAACACAAGTTGTTATGAGTAAATTTCAAATCTAGAACGGGCCGTTCCAACTCTAGAATGGGTCATTCCAGATTCAAATTTTAGCCTTAACAAACTAGTTCAGAATGGGTTGTTCCAAAATTAGAACGGGCTATTCTGGTCAAATATGACGTCTATAAATAGCAGAGTTGGGCACTGCTCCCGGTGCCAAAAAATTACCTGAGAAAGTTCCATAAAACTCGAAATTCTCTCTCTCCCTCCTTTTGTATTTCTTGAGAGTTGTGAGACACATTGTAGTGTGTAAGGCAGCCAAAACGTGGCCAAAGCTCTCCACATTTGAAGATTCAATAAACCTTAAGCAAGAGGTATTTCAATCAATATTCTTCTCCCTCCCTTACTTCCTTTATTTTAATAAACACTGTTCTAAATAAAAAGATTAAATCATGTAGACGTCTTAGGGTAAATCGTGTAATTTAAATTTCATGTATATAAATAACCATCAAAAAATGGGAATTAATATTTAAACTATTAACTCTTATTATGTTAGCTTCGTCATAGGGTATAGATTTAGGGTGTTGTAGGGGTGCTTAATACCTTTCCAACACGTAACTGACCTCCGAACCC